TATTTGAAACACTTATGAAGCCTGATGTGCCACAATAAATGATTCATCATGATATCCTATCTTTCGAAAATCAACCAATGTCATTATTGAGTCATCGATCTTCACGCCACTTTTATTCTCAACCCACTTACACTTGAAAACAGGCACTGAAAACTTAGTATAATTAACCTCCCATATCTCCTTAATTACACCATAATACGACATTAATCTAATAACAGGATTTTGATCCTTAAAAGTAAAGAACTACATGGACTCTGCTTCAAGAGTCACACCACTATTTTGAACAATACTTTTATCATCTAGAGACTTTGTATAGAAGGAACACTTATTAATATCATATACATGTTAGGATCGAGCGCTTACCACTAGGCCAAAAGCTATAGCCATTAGTCAGAGCGCAACTCTTTTTACTTTAACAGCCCAAGCGCCACGATTCAATTGTGACTCGGCCCACCTGACCTTCGTCACAGGACAATTGATGCTACCTGCAACAATTGATCCTAACAATTGGTATCAGAGCCAAGGTCACGAGTTCGATTCCTGGTGGGCAATTGTTGAGGGGGAGATTGTTGCAGGTTGCACAATTGTCCCGTGGCAGAGGCCGGGTGGGCCAAGTCACAATCTAAGAGTGGGATACCTTGTAGGACAATTGCTGAGGGGGAGATTGTTGCAGGTAGCATCAATTGTCCTGTGACGAAGGTCAGGTGGGCCGAGTCACAATTGAATCGTGGCGCTTGGGCTGTTAAAGTAAAAAGAGTTGCGCTCTGACTAATGGCTATAGCTTTTGGCCTAGTGGTAAGCGCTCGATCCTAACAATACAGTACAACATAAGACATCAAATTTAAGTCCATTAGCTAGTCATGTTAATATTTCAGATAATGTTGGATCTTTCATGATTTCCTCTTTAAATCATGCCATGAATGTCTTGTCATGTTGCATCAACACCCACTTCTCTGCTTGTCTTAGAGCATTCTCTTTGACAATGGTTTTATGAGCAGATAAGTAAGGAATTACCTCATCTATATTGTTCAATATATACAAATGTGTCTGAAGAACTTCGTCATGTTATCCTTTGACATATATTCTGAACAAAATTCAATGGCTTCTTCTATAATGTATCTCTCGATGATAGAGGCTTCAAGACGATAATAATTTTTAACATACCCTTTTAAAATCTTCATATAATGGTCAACTGGGTACATCCATCTTAGATAAACTGGACCATAATTTTATTTCTCTAACCAAATGTACAAGCAAATGCATCATGATATCAAAAAAGGATGGAGGAAAAAACATCTCTAACTGACATACAATAATAACAATTTCCTCTTCCAATGCATCCAATTTTTTTTGGTCAATTACTTTAATACAAATTGAATTGATGCACACAATCGAGTTATAGTTTGCCTCACATTTTTTGGCAAAATTCCATGAATAGTTACAGGAAATAATTGTTATATCAAAAGACAATCATGAGACTTAAGACTAACTAGTTTCAAATCTTGCATAGATACAAGGCTCTTAATATTTGAAGAGAATCCTTGTGGGATTTTCACATTGTTCAAACATTAACAAAAACTTGTTTTTTTTTTTTTCCATTTTGGACAAAGTATAACAAGTTGGGACAAATATGTGCGTCTTCCTCCTCTGTTGATGCTAACTCATTTCATATTCATTTCAATCAAATCTAAACGAGCATTAGCATCATCCTTTGTCTTCCATTTGATGTTCAAAATTCTTCCAATTAAGCTATCATATGCATTTTTCTCCACATGAATTACATCAATACAATGTCTGACATTAAGCTTACTTCAGTATGGTATATCAAAGAAGATAGACCTTTTCTTCCAAATTTCAGTTACAATTGATTTTTTTTTCTTTTCCCCAAATACAACATTAATACCCTTCACCCTTTCATAAGTTTTAACACCAGTTAACGGAGTTGGTGCTTCATCATTCTATTAATGTCCGTAAAAAGTTTTCTCAATCTACGATAAGGGTGAAATTTTTTTAGAAATCTTTGATGCCGAAGATAAACTGTCTTCCTATCATGTTTTAACTGCTCATAACTAGTATTTTCTTCATAAATACGACAAACTTTATGACTCTTTAGACTATAACCTGACAAATTTTCATATGTAGGAAAATCATTGATAGTGTAAAATAATATGACATGCATCTTGAAAGACTCACAAGCAAATTCGTGAAACACTTTAACCCCTTCATCCCACAACAATTTCAAATCTTCAATCAATGGACTAAGATATACATTTATGTTATTTCCTGGTTCTCTTAGACCTAAGATCATCATAGATAATATAATGTATTTACGCTCCATACACAAACTTGGAGTTAAGTTATAAATAAATAGCAAAACAAGTCAAGAACTATGATTAATACTTAGATTACTAAATAGATTCATTCCATCACTAGCCAATCTAAATCCAAGATTTCTTGACTCAATAATAATGTCTTCACTATTGTCTTGATTATTATCTTTCACTTTGAAATGAGATAACCCATAAATTGAACATCTTTTTAGCTCTTTGAACTCATTTCTATATAAAATACAATCATCGGTACATGCATGTATCCTTTATACTCCACACCCATTGGGCAAAATATCTTTTTCACCTCATAATTACGATTGGGTAGTATATTTTCTTTTGAAAGCATTTCCTTCAACAACTGAACCAGTTCATTGCCTTTAAATTTATCAATCTTAAAATTGCTGACAACCATGTGAAATTACTTGAACCATGATAAAGTGGTGTCTCTGTATCGCTACACATATGTTCATACACATGCGCTTAAGCAACAGATTCTACTCTAACGTCACGAATCATATTCTCTAGTCGATCATCCATGGTTGAATAAACTAAATCATGATCAGATTCATTTACACATAACAAATCTAATAGTTCACCATGTTATTACCAAATTGTGTAATTTTTAAGAAAACTGTCACAAAAAAAATGCTCCCTAATTTGCTCAACACTTAGTAATATTTCATTAAGACAATTAACACATGGACACCTAAATCTTCTACCCGTAGAACTAGTCGAAGTGTTCTGTTATGCAAATAATAAAAAATTTTCCACTCGTTTCTCGTACTCATTAGTTATGCAGACACAATTAATCTCGAGCGGGCTTGCTAGTTTGCCTAAAAAAATATTAAAATATTAAAATAAAAATAAAAATAAAAATAATTATAATTAAATTTTTTTTGTTATGTTATTGAAACATATAAATATATTATGATATTATAATTTAAATTATAAAAATTAATTAATTAAATTTAAATTATTGATTATAATTAGTTATTTTGACACATAAATATATATATATATATATATATATATATAATTTATCTAATAAAAATATTAATTAATAAATAAAAACTTAACAATTATTCATATAATTAGATATATATTTTTAAAAAATACGAGATAATTTTTTTTTATATAAGAACAAATTATTGGCGGGCTAGCCCGTTACCACCGCCAACCAATAAGCTGAGGTCTAAAGCCCATAACTATGGTGGACTAGCCTGTTTCACCCAATTTTTGGCGGGCTAGAGACAGGATGAACCAAAATGGGATGAATTGGTGTTTTGTCATCCCTACCAACAAATACACCAATGGAGGAATGTTTAAAATTATCTATTACATTATTATCTATTACATTAGATCAAGTCTCGATTGATAAATTGAAATATCAAAGATTTGTATAGAGATTGATGTACTTAGCACATCCTAGACCAGATATCACCTACATATTAAGTATTGTTATCCAATTTATGCATAATCCTGGAGAGCAACATATGAATGCAGTTACTCATATTTTAAAATATATAAAGTCAGCACCTGAAAAATGATTATTGTTCACAAAAAATAAAATTTTTAATAAGATCATTGTATATATTGACGTTGATTGGGCTGAATTATTGGAAGATAGACTATCAACATCAAATTCTTTTATATTTGTTGCTGTTAATCTTTCACATGAACAAACAAGAAACAAAAGTGTGGTCTCTCTGTCAAGTGTTGAAGCTGAGTTTAGAGATTTGACATTTGGCATCTATAATCTGTGATAGTTTATGACTAAGATTTATTTTGCAAGATTTTGGATATCCCTCTACACAACCTATTAAATTATATTGTGATAATAAAACTGGTTGTGATATTACTCGTAATCTAGTATAACATGATCGAACAAAATATGTTGGAGTGGATAAACTATTTATTAAGGAAAAGTTAGAAAAAAATTGTAGTATTCGTTAGAAGATCAATTAGTTGATATCGAAATAAAGATCGTTTCAGATAAAGTATTTTCAAAATGTCTTGTCAAATTTGATACATGAGATTTATACGCACCAACTTGAAGAAAGTATTGAGATTTACTTTCTTTTTATTCTCTTTACAAATATAATTGTATAAATAATATAACTAAGATTTGATATAATTGTAAAATATTTTAGTTTTTCTAAGAACCTAATTAGGTATATGTATTTTTATAAAAAATATACATATTTTATTTCATTTACAGAATCAATATATTTCAGTTTATATTTTTAAGTATTTTTATCATGTTAAAAATTATTTGAATTAGACTGAAAAAAATAAAACTCTCAAAATTCTCTATTTGAACATATTATAATGAAAAGCGAAAGTTTTTCAAAATACAACAACATCATAGTGGCAAGTAGTAAACATGTGATGTGAAAAGTTAAGCCATAAAATAATAGGAAGGCCCAAAACTTTCAATTATGGGCCCAAATATCCAGGATTTTCAGTCGAAAAGAACCAGTTTTTCAAAGAGGCGAAGTTGTGATTATGGACCGAATAAATAAATAAAAAAAATCCACCGATATCATCCGTTATTTGCTTTTGCAAGTTGCAACTATGGAATGGAAATGAGAAGTGAATGGGAAATTGAATTTCCATGATCGGTGGGTTGGTTGGGAGAAGATAGAAGTGACTTTTGGCAAAGACGCAGTCATGAAAGAGATTTGTCGAAACTTCCAGCGAGGCAGGTTATTCTTCTTAATCTTCTTCATCTTCTTCATTGCTTTACTTGCAGGTTCAATTTTCGATGTTCAATTAACACACTATAATTTCTGTGTAATTCCCATGCGCAATTATTTCTTTATATCTTTCACTCTTTGTGTGGATATCTTGTGGGGGCGTGATTGGACTTTGGATTTTCAGCTTTAAGTTATATATGACAATAGAAATTCTTGCATTTACATGATATATCACAATAGTAATCTATGTGACCAAATATGCTGTTGGATCATTAATGTTGAATTTATTTGTCGGTGTGCGTCTTCAGAAGGTTTGAAAGTGTGTTTTAAGTTGCCATGGTTCATCTTTCAGCTGTCAATATGGAGAAAGGTGTAGATATTTACATGCCAACCAACAGCGAAAACCTAACGTTCAAGGTTTTGGAGGACAGAGCGCTTCTCACCAACAGCAAAGTACAAATCCTTTTGGATTTGGGTCTGGCTCTCGCTCTAGCTTTGGCTCACAACAACCGCAGAAGTCTAATTCTTTTGGTTTTGGCGCGCAGAACAGCTCCCACTTAAATGGGGGGCCTCATTCTGAGTATAAACCGAACCAATACAAGGTTCTCACTCTTTTCCTATCCTCTTATGCTTATACATTATGTGAATTTTTTTTTTCTTTTCATGTTTTTAATTGTTTGGCATTATAATAAATTAATACGACGTTGAAGCTTTTTAATATTTATGGACTATTTTGAGGGGTTCTCGCTGCTATGTCTGCTTCATCTTCACTCTTAGTAACATAATCTGATATTTGCTCTTCGTATTGATCATTTACTTCTGAATCAGCCTTTTGAAAACAAATGGAGTCGACAGTCGTCCAAACCCCAAAATGGTGGGAAATCTGATAACAACCCCCAACCAGTGGATCATAAGTGAGTATTTATCAATCTATTTTCCCTCTCATGAATAATGGACATCTTTCTTGATGTTTGTATCAAGTGAATAAGTGGAACAAAAATGTGCATAATTACCACCTGTTGGACATACACCATTGTACTTCAGAACAAGAAACATAAAATCACAGGTCCAAATATATACAATTTTTGGAAGAGTAGCAAAGTCCTTTATTTTCATGATAAAGGACCTTGCTACTCTTATTAGGAACAAATATGGGAGATCCATTGCATCAACACTGACTAATGGTGCCTAGAAACTGCCAAACAAACTCTGTAATCTTTGATTGGATCATTGGAGGGCTTTGCCTTTGATCCATTTTGAAGATGCAAAATTTGATTTTTTTTTCAGTTTTGTTGTATATGCCCCTACCCGCTTTCTTTTTGGGTAAAGTAATCCTCTACATATTTGTCTTCAAAGAATTTGCTAAATGAATATCTGTCATTTGTTATAAACAAGCAAAGGAACAATTTTGCTTTCCTTTGATTATGTGGTTTCTTTAGGAGAATTACTGATCATCTCTTGTATTTTTTCCTTGCTGTCTAGCTAATCTTTTTCTCTAACAAGGGTCTCATTATGGTGATTTTGCATCCATGTTTCCCATCAATGTTGTTTCCTTGTGCCTTATTTGTATGTTGTATCTTAGGTAAGATTAATTGATATACTTTACTTGGTTGATGTAATTTAAGATGCACAGATCCTGAGATCTGCAAGCGCCAGATTGCAGAAGATTTCGAGAAAGAAAAACCAATTTGGATACTTACATGCTACAGTCATTGCAAAGGGTATATTTCTTTTTTAGACATGATGGTTTGAAAACATTAATCAAACTTGTTACTGTTAATAATATATTGTTCAATCATGATGGAAGGTACTACTCTAGCACCTAATGCAGACTATAGATCGTATAGAAAAAATATCATTTCCCTTATTGCAATTTGTTGACTATTTTTTTCACTTCATCCAAATACAACACTGATAAACTGACCAGTAATCATTAAACGCTTCCTCATCGTATCTTTGACAATCCTTCCCAAAGCTGCTGTCCATAAGATTAACAAGATCCTAATTGGAACATTTTTCATATACATTACAATTTACAAAGCTTCAGATGATAGGGATTCACATGGAAGGTGCACTTGTATGTTCTCACTTATTACTTAATTTTCTGAAAACTGCAGCTGAGCCTTCTTTAGCTACTTATGAGGTAGCCCACTGTCCACCTTGAATACACCAGCTAAATAAACCTGAAAGCGTTTCCTCAAGAAATTTTAAGTTCAAACGTTAATACTTGAAAAAGAGATCCTGGTCTACTTGTCACTCTTGAAAGAGAAATTGCTCTATAGAATCCTGACCAGAGTACTAATAAGAAAACTAAATATACATTTTGATTTGACCTCCTTTCATGCAGTGCTCCTTGTGACATTGTTGGTGATATTAGCTTTGAAGAATTGCGGGCATCAGCTTATGAGGATGCTAAACGTGGGATGAGCTTGCAATCAATAGTAAGAAATCTGATGTAACATGCCTTTTGCCCCTTGGTCCCCCCCACCCCATTTTTGGAAGATACCCCTATTCTCTATCTAGTTGTAATCGCCGTTTTTCTTTAACGAAATTTCATTTTGACAAATTGTATTAAAGAAGAGCTTCCTTTATTATGTCTTTTTTGTTGACATTTGTAAGTACAAGGTTACGGTTGTGCTCAACCGTGTCTTCTGTGTCTAACCTGATAATATGACGTTGCAGGTTGAAAAAGAGAGAAATATACTAAAATCCAAGATGGTTGAATTTGAGAAACTACTTTCTGAACCTTACCAAAAACCAATAAATTCTTCTCTTGACAGTCAAAGACCCCAATCTATTGGAGCCAATGCAAATCTGTTTTCAGGAACATCTCAAAGTAATGGTCCTTTGTCAGTCTCAAGTTTTAGCCAACTGGGTACTTCAATGAGCATGGGATTTGGAAGGTAAGAATTACCGGTTAGAAAATATTTTCCTCATTTTCAGTTACTTGGCATTGGAAAACAACTAGAGAAAATCTATAAAAATTGAGAGTTCAATGAGCTCCACTGTAGTATGGTTTGTACCCTATTAGTTATTGATGAGGCCTGATAGTTTGTGCATTGCATTAGACCTCTACCGACAACCTTTTTCCAGAACTCCTGTCTACAGTGTTATTTTGTTTAGGATTTTGTTGTGATTGTCAAGATAATGGAGAAATGCAGAAGAGCTTTTATTACTGTCGTTTTTGGTTACAGTTTTGCAGATACTATTTCAGGCTAGTTGGATATCTGTTTTTAAGGGCACTAGAATGACCTAAGTCTTGAAAATTTAGTGTCTCAAAACTTTCCTATGGTGGCTGAGTGGTTTACATTGGTATCACTTGTAGAATTGGGTGATTCGAAGTATGGTGTGTGTTAGTTATTGAATGGATAAGATGCAGGTCTGCAACCATTGCTTCCCATGAATGATTATCCTTCATCTTGTACTTTCCTTGTCTATACTCAGCTAATATTTGTTTTCCTGCTTTTGGTCTAATCTGTTTTGGAACTATTATTAGGCCACCTGCACCACCAATAAACACTCTGGCACAGCCTAGTTTCTTTGGAAGTGGAGGTATATATTTGGTGCATTATGTATAGCGTTATGACTACATGTCTTTTGTTTTTGTTGCTCATATATGTCTGACTGTCAATGCTGTAATAAATACTAGGAAACTCTTTGGCATCCAACACAGCAAACCTAAACAGCAGTGGCACCTTTGGAGTTCAAAGCAGCCCCCATTCTACACCACTGGATTTGACAATGTTTCCAGGTTCAACTCAGCAAACATCAGCAGCATTCAATAACTCTGGTCCTACTACATTGTTTCAAACAACATCAAATGTCCAGTTGCCGTAAGTTCATAGCACATTAGTGTTAGAAAAGTAGTTTTAGATCAAGAGGGGGGTGAATTGATCTTTAAAAGTTTTTCGCAAATAACAGATTATCTAATTCAAAAATTAAGATTTCAGATCTGTTCTTGAATTACAAAGCAATCAATCAATATAAATGCAGCGACAGAATTAAAAGGAGAGAAAGGTTAAGAAAGATATCACCGGTGTTTTATACTGGTTCACCCAATACCAGGGCTACGTCCAGTCTCCAGCCAAATTCCAGCTGGGTTCCACTAGATCAAATGTTTTACAGATTTACAATCTTACACTTAATCTACCACAAGAACCAAATTCCAGTTCCTGCACTCAACCTCTCACCAAGAACCAAATTCTAGTTCTTGATAACCTCACCACCAAATTCCGATTGCGAGAGAGACCGAGTGCCCAAATTCCAGGCACCAACACCTAACCTTTCACCAAGAACCAAATTCCAGTTCTTGACAACCTCTACAACCAAATTCCAGCTGCAGAGAAACCAGTGCCCAAATTTCAGGCACCAAACAATACAAAAAGAATGTAAAGAAATGAAAAAGAAGAAACTAGAATGCTCAAACTAGTTTATGCAATTCTGCTGTAAGTGTTTCTTCTTCAAAAGAAATCAAGTTGCCTCAAGAAAGATTTTCAAATAACTTCTCAAAGACTGACGCGAATCTTTCTTGAAAAGAGTGCTGAAGTTTGCTTGATTGATTGCTAAAGATGATGTACAATTGTGTGTATAAAAAAGTTCAAGCCAAACTGTTTTAATAGAAGATTTTCAAAACTGCTTGGTTTAATTAATCTGTTAAAAGATTCTTTTAATCTGTTAAAAGTGCAGTTTTAATCTGTTAAAACTTCTTTTAAACCATTAATACGTTTTTAATCCATTAAAAGAAGTTTTAACAGATTAAAACTGCACTTTTAACAGATTAAAAGAATCTTTTAACAGATTAATTAAACCAGCAGCTTTGAAAATCTTCTATTAAAACAGTTTGGCTTGAACTTTTTATACACACAATTGTACATCATCTTTAGCAATCAATCAAGCAAACTTCAAGCACTCTTTCAAGAAAGATTCGCGTCGGTTTGAGAAGTTATTTGAAAATCTTTCTTGAGGCAACTTGATTTCTTTTGAAGAAGAAACACTTACAGCAGAATTGCATAAACTGGTTTGAGCATTCTAGTTTCTTCTTTTTCATTTTTTTACATTCTTTTTGTATTGTTTGGTGCCAGAAATTTGGGCACTGGTTTTTCTGCAGCTGGAATTTGGTTGTAGAGGTTGTCAAGAACTGGAATTTGGTTCTTGGTGAAAGGTTAGGTGTTGGTGCCTGGAATTTGGGCACTGGTCTCTCTGCAACTGGAATTTGGTTGTAGAGGTTATCAAGAACTAGAATTTGGTTCTTGGTGAGAGGTTGAGTGCAGGAACTGGAATTTGGTTCTTGTGGTAGATTAAGTGTAAGATTGTAAATCTGTAAAACATTCGATCTAGTGGAACCCAACTGGAATTTGGCTGGAGACTGGACGTAGTCCTGGTATTGGGTGAACCAGTATAAAACACCGGTGATATCTTTCTTAACCTTTTTTTCCTTTTAATTCTGTCGCTGCATTTATATTGATTGATTGCTTTGTAATTCAAGAACAGATCTGAAATCTTAATTTTTGAATTAGATAATTTGTTATTTGCGAAAAACTTTTAAAGATCAATTCACCCCCTCTTGATCTAAAACTACTTTTCTAACAATTAGAAAGTACTGAAAGGAATTTGTCACGATTTAATCACTTTATGATCTCATTCATTGAAAATTTTCTACGATATTAAGGTACAACGTTTCAGATCATGTGGATTTAATAAATGACAAGATTTACTAAAAATGACATAGATTGATTGTAATCGAGTCAATCATGATTGTTTTCATTGAAAACTTTTCATCCTGTGTTGCATATGCATTTTTAGTTAAAAAAAAAATTCTGTGAGCTTTAAAATTTCAATTTTATATATGTCCCATTATTATTCCATTTTATTTAATAACGTAGCTGCAGTAAATTTTTGTGACAAACTCCCACAATGTAACCTAACTTTTAATTTTGAAACGACTATGATAAACTTTTGTGATTTAAGTAATGTACCTTCTACTTTTATAATTATTCTTATGAAGAGATGAATAGAAGTCTTTTAAAGTTTTTGGATTTTACCTTTGTTTACACCTGATAATTCTCAAATTAAGTTTTTGGGTTCAGCAAAGGACTACGAAACAATAGGTAAGATAATGAATGTAGCATGCACTCAATTGCCTCAGGAGGTCACTTCAACGCACTCACGAAATGACTCGTATTTTTCTTTAAACAGACCAAAATGCATAGATTGTATTTTTATAGTTTTGATGAAGTTGGCCATATGTTACAGTTTGTAGATTTTTGAATGTCAGAAGTGTCCTTGTATCGGTTGGATCTTCCTTTATTTTTTTTATTTAACAATGCCCCAGTTTACACTAGTGTTTGTCTTCTTGGAAACTTCACCTTTATAGATGCAATTTTCTGGGTTGTCTCTATATATAATTCGAAGAAAATTTGCTTCGCATTCAAGTTACAAAGACTTTTGTTTGAATTGTTATGGTGGTTCTTCTATTCCTGCAGAAATGAGTTACAAGTGGAGAATGTATCAGGAGATGTCAGTATTTGGCTAAAAGAGAAATGGAACCCGGGAGAGGTAACGGTCTTCTGCTTTGCTGTAACTGTTAAAAATTGTCTCGAATACATTTTGTATCCAATTCCAGAAGCAGGACAAAATCCTCCTTAGGGTAGATGCGTTGATAAGTGCTTTATATGCTAACATTTGTTGTTTTCATTTTATTTTTGTACTGTATCTGTTTGGCAGATTCCAGAAGAAGCTCCTCCTGATTCATTTGTACGGTAGACATTGTGTATTGGCAACTGAAGCATAGGAACCAATACCTGCGTTACCACTTAGCAAGACTTCGGTTTCGTGGTTGAACTACAAACATCACTTGCATGTTTTAGATCAATATTAGGGATTCATTTGAGACGGGTTTCATTCTTGTTATGTAATCTTTTTGAGGCATGAAATTTCCATTGTTTATTTAAATACCTATTTCTTAATCACGCTTTTCTTCAAATGAAAAAAAATAAAAAAATCCAAATGCATTTCATTTAAAAGCAGGAATCTTAGCACAACACATGATTAATTAAAATTTATTGAAATTATAAAATAGGAGGTAGAAGATTATTTTTGTTAGTTTTTTTGAGGGAGAAAATGAGAACTAATTTTAAAAATCTTGAGAATCATTCTCATCTATTTTTGTTTACTTATTTATTTTCATATTTCTTATTAAATCAATAACTTTCAAAATACAATTTTTTTTTTACCTATTTTACTTTGCTAAATAACTAAACATTCCATTGTTTTGTCCTATTTCTTATTTAAATTTTATTATTTTCTTCATACTCTGTATTTTTTTTCTCAAAACCAAGCATAGCATAAATATGAATAGCGAGATCTATAAAATGTTGTGATTTTGCAGAAAGATTAACCAGAGAATCTGTTGAAAAGAATAATGTGTCAGAAAAAGTATGTTGCTAGCCTTTTTCACTTTTGATGAAATGAAAATAATATAGGCTACTTGATTTTATAATTAGGATAATTAGAAAATTTTAAATTATTGTCCTAATTAGAAAATTTCAAACCATTGCTTTAGATAATTAGAATAATCTATATTAATATTTAATGATAAAAACTAGAATATTTAACACTTACAACAAATTATTACCCTATTATAGCTAAATTGTTGGTCCTAATTATGGTTAGTCGACAAGTATAGAACCATTATTTTAGACTTATCTACATACATTGTTTGTATAATATATATAAAGTATGTTAGTTTTATTTTATTTTATTTTGAACTTGATAAATTTCAATGTTAGTCTGATGTCATGATGATAATGGTGATACAAGATATGAATGTAATGTAACATGTAACACACAGACCAAAATAATTATGAAGATGACGATATAACATAACATATCACTGTACCCTCGGTGATTAATACAGGACGAAAGCTAAGTAATTGAATTGCTAGCACAGCTAATTTTTTTACAATGAGAGTATTTACAGGGCTATTCTTTTGAAACATATTAATCAAAGGAATACATTAACTTTGTGAAAAGAATTTGTAATTAAATTCAAAGTGGCAAGTCTGATTAGACGCTGGAAATATGATCAGTGCCAACAGAGGAGGAATCAAGTTGAAATTCGAAAGATTCAGCCAATTTGACTGCATCTGAAATTCTAAGGCGTGTTCCCTGTTGTCCAACAACAGTGGCAGCAACATTAGCTGCTATTGTCCCTATACTTCTCAAATCTGATATGCCTCTCAAAAGACCATAGAGTATGCCAGATGCATATGCATCACCAGCACCACAAGTATCTACTGGAACACATGGAGAAGGAGGGATATATACAGCTTCTCCTTTTACACCTATGTAAGAGCCTGTTGGACCATCTGTAACGGATACTAGAGGAACAAAGTGGCTCAGATACCTCGCAGCTGAAGCAGCACTTTCCTTTGCTTCAAAATTACACAGAGCTCTGGCCTCATCACCATTTGCAAACACTAAATCCACACTGTTCCCAATAATTTCCCTGATAAATGGAAAAATACAACAGTTGTTAAAACATATATGTGTGTGATCTAACACCTGCAAATATCATTTGTATGAACCATCTTTAGTTTTAGTTAATTTAATTTAAATGGTTCCTACAGGTTTGATGAGGCAATCTGCTGAATTGCCTCCATTCCCCTTCAGTCCTTCAACAGCCTAGTTAGCACTTACGCAACCAGGTCTCAAATGAAGCAATTGGAAGATAATGTGGCGGCAATGGGTTTCGGATTTCCATATCTATCATTCTCAGTTTATATTATTTCTAAAAAAACAATTATAGTTATAATTATAATAAATTAATTTTATAATTTTTAATTATTATTATTAATTATATATATACTTTAATTTATTATATTTATATTAAAATATATATGCACATGAAATATTTAATTATTTTTTTCTTTATACAGATAAAATACTTATAACATTATTATTATTATATTATTATTATTATATTATTATAATAATATATTCAAACATTTGATTATAATTATTAAATATTAATAATATGAAATATATAATTTATAAAAAATATTTAATAAATTAATCTTTATTTAATTAATTTAAAATAATAAAATTTTTAATTATCATTTCTTTTTAAACCTTCAAAATATAATTATTTTATAAAAATAAAATTCGATATATTAATAAATAAGTATAATAAAATTTAAAAAATATAACATAATAAAACCTAATAAAAATAAACTTAAAATAAAATAATACTAATCATTACTAAGATTGACGTGGAAAATACAAGAAAAAAAATAAATTAATCATGTCTACCTTATGGCACACATTCATGCTTCAGCATAATAAAATTGTTATTGTGGTACCAGATCAGGATTAATGGTATGGAAATTACATGATATCAACTACTACATAAAAAAACAAAATTAAGTGATGGTCTTACCAAAAATCATCAAAGTGTCTCTCAATGCAGGAGACATCTGAAGCTGTTATTGCAACCAAGGCACCATTCCTCCGTGCGTTCTCACATGCTTTGGTTATTGTTTTAATAGTATCAGGAAGTTCAAATAAATACCCTTCAACAACAAGTATGTTGGTCTTGGAAACTGCACTAGCCAAGGATGCATCATAGTTAACAGTTGAAGATGTGCCCTGACACCAGAATACAGAAATATTTTAGCATCTTCGTTATTAGTATAAACAGTAGCAAATAATCCAGAGCCCATAGAATTTGATAGTAAAGGTAAACGAATAACCACTGTGCTTTGGCATAAGCAGCAAGGAAGTATTACTTGAAGAATAGATAATACTATGTTATATGGTAAATACTATGCATGCTCATTTTATACTAGTTGAGAAAGTTACATGTTTATGAAACTACCGTGTTTTCTTCAGTATATGCAATAATTACTCGAGAAACTTTTGAGCAACTCTTAAACAGTCAATTAGATATGCAACCATGCTGAAGCTAGAGGTGGGGGCGGGGAAGAAAAATCACTACATAGATTGTTATTCATATAGTTACTTATAAAACATCTTGCTATAGAATCCTCAAATTGCAGGAAGGAAGCCGCAGATGTATCATGCAGCATGCTGAACCTGATAGGCAAGCATTGTGCGCTGGGCATCTGGAGTTGTGAGAACTATAACTGTTCCGGTTGTCCCATCCTTGATAGGCTCAGAAAGAAATTGCACATTTGCTCGGCGTAATTTTTCCCTAAAGAATTAAAAGAAAATGTAAACAAGCAATAGAAGTATGCCCAGACAAAACTGGTGGAATCATTAAATAACACAAAAAACTACGTGTTGAAGATGAGTACACAGTACAATGTGTTATTTATGCGAACAGCAGGCTTCTGATAAAAAATTGAGTACTTAACAGATATTAATCCAACCTGATCTATACTTTTTCCAAGCACTATCACAATTAAAGCTGTTGATAGTAGATAGAAAATTTAATACCATACATGGATAAAAAGTACAAATTTTTTCATGGTTGATTCCATATAGAATCACTCTTGCCCTGTATTTATGCTATCTTTTGACAGTGCACAGATATGGTTGCACACATGGCAGAGGGCGCAGATGGAGGTGTGGGAGTTTGGCGGTGATAAGGGAGGTCACAGAGGCTGTCTGCAACAGCACAGGGCAAGGGCCAGAGGGTGTTGCCGATTCACAAATAGGAAGGAGAAAAGATGCAGCCACAGAGAAAGGGTATAGAGAGAGGAGCTCAGACACAGGTGCTACACACTATCACAATGTAGTTCATCCTTTTTCTGGCACAAAAAGGCCAAGATGGCCACCATACTGAAACGCTGCCCAACAGCCAGGGGCCACACTACAGAGCAATGGTGCTTTTGAGCGTTATTACGCTTATGAAAAGGCAAAATGCACTACCCAGAACTGGAGTGAAACAGTAAAACATATGTCCCGTGATTTAATTAACCAAGACAATTTGATCAACAAAAAACTAATAAGAACGGTGCAACTAATAAAGACAAACCTGTAGAAACCCCCCAATAGATCACTCCCTACACTGCCCGTCATTGCCACATTTATAGCAGGAACTTTGATGGAGCGACTTCCAAGCCTTGCAAGGGCAACTAAGGTATTAGAAAGAGATCCACCAGCCGCAGCTTTATAGCTGCACCCATCCATAGCCTGCAAAACTCTACCTCTTTCCTCGTGATTTACTACTTTCCGTGTTCCCTTCTCTAATCCCAAATTCTTCAGAAAATTATCATCAACCATGCCAGAGAAATCCACCTAAAAGAATTTCCAAAAAAAAAGCATGCCTTTAAGATTCATTCTCAGAGAAAAGGAAAGAAACGTCGCCATAGCAACAAGACGATGGTATAAACCATATGAACATTTTATATTTCGGTGTCATTTCTAATCAGAATTGAAGTTTCAAATTAGCTGTTACTTTAATACAAATAATGACTATTATGCAGACTTGTAATGCTAATCATGATTATGCAGAGAGACAACAGGGAAAAACACAAGCATATCCTTAAAAGGAAACAAAAAGCAGGGGTAAATAATATTATGAACTGAAAATGCATAAAATGTATTGGCGTAAATGGAGGTGGAAGGAAAAGGGAATCACCATGGCTTGACCAAGACCCAGGACATCCCATCTTTCAGGCAAAACTAAGGAGCTAAGAGCCCCTTGGCCATCTTCATCTTCGTCATCGTCGTAACTAGCCTTCATGGGTTGTTCATCACCTTCTTCGCTGCGACTGTTATATTGTGCACCCTTGGAAACACCAGCCCCACATCGAGCGGAAAACGATGCGTTCCTGCGGCAGCATAAAATAAAGTGGGGAGAAGGGGAGTTTGGTAATTTGGGGAGGCAAAGAGAAGAGAGAGGTGGCGTGGGGAAGAAAAGAGACGGAGAGAGGCGAGGTGAAGAGTAGATACGAAGAAGAGAGAGAGACATGGAAAAGGGTTTGGTTGCTTTGTTCTGTGTCTAAACTCTGAAGAGCGAGACACAAGCACAAAGGAACCAGCTGTGTGGATATGGTGGTAATGTCTGGGAAGAGAGACACGACACACAAAGATAAGGAGAAGAAACCAAGAAAACCAGAAGAAAAATAAGAGAGAGGGGGAATGGAGACCTCAATTTACGGAACCACCCTCTCCCTGTTTGTTCTCACCCTCCCACACATTCTAGAAATTCCAGGTCAGACACATCATCCTCTTCATTCTTTAATGTTTTTATATATTAAAATGTTCAATATTAATTCTATTGCTTTTTGTAATTACTTTCCCTCCTACATGTAATTATATTTTAATATAATATTTATTCTATTTAAGAAAGAGAATTTTTATTTTTAATAATTATAAAAATATTATTAAGATCAAATTTTATATTTAAAATATTATTGGTGTTGAAACTTTAATTTATTATAATTTTATTTTAAAAAAATATAAATTATTTTTTAACACAAGAATCTAAATAATATTAAATAAATAAAATTATTATATTATTATTTGTTTAATAATATTATTAATTAATATTTTATTGGTTCACAGCAGACACCGTGTTTGGATTGGAGTTTGAATGGCCCGGACAAGCACACGTCCTATATATATTTTTTTTCAGTACTTAGAAAATGCCCTTTTATTTTGTAAAATAGTATTATTTTAATTCTAAGATTCATTCAAAATATATTTCAAAATAATAAAGTTGTATCTTTTAAAACTTAAAACAAACAATATACTGATTTTAAATGATTTTGTTAAAATGAAGTAGTCTCTTATTTTAATTTAGAAAAAAACATTTAATTAGTTTAATTATTTTTTCTTATTATTTAATTATTTGCTTTGTTTAATTTGATCTCTTTATTATTAAATAAATAAGTTAAATATCTTAATTTTCAAAACCGTGATAAAAATTAACATAATTAATTATATAAATTATCACTTATTATTATTATTTATACTGTGCCTAAATTAAAGTTGTTAAGTTTTTTTTTAATTAGCAGTATGATTTTTTACTAATAATAAGATAAAATAAAAATAAATAAAGGAATAAATAAATAATGAAAGAATAATTAATCCCTTTTGTTTCAGTCTCCGAGATATTAAACAAGGGGGAATGAGCGCTGGAAATTAGAATTATGTAAAAGAACCAGTTCCGCTGTTTTCTGTTCCCAATTTGTTTTGACGTCTCTTCACGAACCCTAACTCGGAATTTGATTCACGTCACAGGGACATGAAACAACGTTGTGCCGATACGATCCACTGCATTGCAGGTTCAATTGTTGAAAGATGGGTATGAGTTATCATCATGATTGAGAAATTTCCCTTGTCTGAGCAAAGCAGAACAGAGATGTACCTGAAGAAGCCGTTGTGGAGTGAAACAGGGAAAGGAGAAGGAAGTTCAAAGAAAGAGGATGACGGTGCAGTGAGCGAGGTCGGAAAGTCGCTGCAGCAGCAGAGAGTATATAGAGAAGTCACTCTCGCGCTCAGAACGGGGCTCAGAGACGCACGTGCCGAATTCTCCTTTCTCCGTGTTCGCGCTCTCCGTTCCATTCTCAAGTTCCTACGTACAGTTGCGGAGTCTGAATCAACCATTGATCTCTTTAACCAAACCCAATCCATTCCCCAACTTCAAGGTCTGTTTTGTTCTATTCAGGTTTTTTTTTTTCCTTTGAAATATGTGTTTGTAGATTGTTATGTGGTGGTCTTTGCAGTGGTTCCGGTATTATTTCAGCATTCGCTCAAAGAGAGTGGGGATGATTACAACGAGAGTAAGGTTGGTGACTTGAGCCATATATTTGGTGTGGAACCGAAGAAGGTGACGAGTCCTTCCACTGATGCTGAAGTTGCCCTCGCTCTTACAGTCTTGGAAGGGTGTTGTCTGCTTCATCCACAGAGCACCACTCTCGCCCATCAACACAACGCTATTCAGGTTGCTTTCATTGCTGTAGAATTTTTCATTTTTCCATTTTAATGGCTATGAATATAATGACAAGTGACTTTTCCATATGCAATGTATGGTTTTTGACTTTAGTAATTCGGTTCTCAGTTTATGGATGGTCTTGTGTTGTGCTGATTAGTTCTTACATCATCATCACGTAGCATAAACACAAGTTCGGTTATTGTTGCCAATATGATTTTTTTTTCTTTAATAGCGTGTTTCAATTCTTTATGGGAGAAACACTTATCGCCTTCTTATATCTTAACCCTCACTTTTTTATAAAAATGAAGCAATTAACCCTTCAATTTCTTTGCACATTCGTTGATACCCCCGAATAGCATGAGTTAAAATGGAATGCCAAATAAGTGACAGGATCAACTCTTGCTCATATCAAATCCAAAGGCAAAATGAAGTTTTTATCCTTTGATTTAAGCATTGCACTACAATCGTATTCATACCAATTGTGGTGCATTAATAGCACACATGCACAAGACAGTCCCTCTCCCTCCCACCAAAGCCTCCAATCTTAAAAAGAGACGAAAGTTTAGATATTGAGTTGTATATTTAAAAATTGCTGTACTTTGCAGATTTTAATGAATATATTATCCACTCGTGGAGCACTGGAGCAAGGTGCATGCTTAGATGCTCTAATTTCGTTGATGGTGGATTCATCATGGAATCAAATGGTATCCTGACACTTGCCTTCACAGCATTTACAAACGTGTATAACTTTTTTTATCATTTGATTTTTAACATCTAGTTTCTTTTGTCTTTCATTAATGCTTTAAGAAATGAGGTTATCGCTTCTACAATATTTGTTTTTAAGTGAGGAAAAGTTGCAAAATAATTTGTCAGCTGTCATTGCTAACAAAAAGGGAAAAGTGTTGTGCTGCAGGAATTTGCTCCATCCCTTTCTCTTCCATTCTTTTTTTCAATTTATAAAAACTTAAGGTATCTGAGAGTCTTGGCTTAGCTGATAGGGTTTACTGATTGATGTTCCACTTGATGCTTAGCAGATTTTGCTGCTAAACAATGTTTTCTTTTGTTATTCATTTTTTAATATTTCTCTTGATTATCAGGATTTTGAGAAATGTAATGGTATTATGGAAGTTGCTGACCTTCTTAGAGACAAACAAGTGGATGAAAATCTGAGGTACTGCTTCTTTTTACACCAGTCTTATTCATTTTTAAGGCTCTATTCTCATAGACCATGTTTCTTAGTCCTGTAAAATCGTATTACTTTACCTTCTTATTTCTTCAAGCTATTAGGTAGAGACTTGTTGTATGATATTTTAGAACAGAGCATCCATATTTTTAATTTAGTGAGCTTGGATCATATATATTATCTTATTTTATTTCTGAAGTGTAAAGAATATTCAAGCGGTCATATGTCAAAAATTGATGGAGCAGTCAGAAATTAGAAAACAAGGTGGCTTGGACAAGATGAAGGGAGAAACTTCTAAGTAAATATTCTGTTCTTTACTCCATCAAAATGCTACAACAAACCTTGGCAAAAGAGGATAAGTTATTCATCTAACTTTCAAAATCAGCAAAGTAAACCTTTTAATCGGGCTGACAAATTCAGTGTTCCAAAAACAGCACAAGTATGTACCTAAAACTGCCAAGCTACGTCACGAGGAAGAAGAGATGACTATTGGTTACAGAGCATTTATGGCACCTACAGAAATTTCATGGCAAGGGTTTTGTGAGGTCTTCTCACAAGTAACCAACACTATTGTATATTCTATATAGCACTGTTAAAATAAAATATCCTAAACATTTCAAAACAATTGATACCTAGGGGAAAGTTACCAATAAGAAATTGGGAATCACATTAACTGATGAAAATAACTGAAGGACCTGAAGTCCCAGTGCTGCATCTACGTAGTATTAAATATATCGAAGGAAACAAGAATCAAGAATGTCATACAAAAATGTCACCCTTCTTCACATTAGAAGTCCTTTTGTTTCTCTTTTTGGTTGCCTACTTTATATAAGTTGGAATGCATTGTAAATTTGTAAACTTCGAGGTATTTAAGCTTGTTGTGCCCCGAACTTTAGCTGTGGAAAAGGATGAAAAATTGTTTGATTTTTATTTCTATTTCAAGTATTTTGTTTGTCATGTGATGGCTCACAGTCTCGAGGTAACTGGATTAAAATAATAAAGAAGATTCCGTATCTTAGGTTAAAATGTGGAGAGTTTTTGCTGCTGCTCATTGGACATGTGAATGGAAGAGATTCGCCACCTTTGGCAACTATACATGAAGATACAAGGCGACTTCTGGGGGAGAAATCAGCCTCCTTGATATGGGCAGCCAGTCAGTTTGGCTCAACACTGGATCCAGAGCAGAGATTAACAGCTCTTCAGATCCAGGCTCGTAGGGTTCTTGAATCATTGGACTTGTACTGAATGTTAAACCTTTAACTTTAGACAATTATCAATACTGATTTGAAAATATCGGCAGAGAATGTGGTAGATTTTGTTCCCAAGTTTTGTATGTATATTCTCCCTGTTTATTGTAATAATAATTGTTATTCAATTTGGTCAAGTTTTTTATATCTTTTTCTCTGAGTTGTATGATTTTCTTCTACAGTTACTAATTAATGAAGACAAAAAGGGCGTGAATTCTGCCAAATGATTAATATCTTACTATTTATCTTCCAAACAAAATTTGTACGTATGATTTTTCTCTGGGGTTATTTGACAGCCACGTCCGAACTCGAGCGTGTCGTGGACTGACACATGTATATCTTCCTCTATTCATCAAATCAGAAATATCCATGTTAATTTTGCACATCATTGTCCAGAATTATTAAAAGAAAGAAAATTATATTTTTATTAAATAAGTTGATGTGTTTTCTTTCTCCAATCCCTCGACAATACGTGCATATTTGACTTAAAATTACTAACTTTTGTTTTAGAGGAAGAACCAAACACAAATTCTACGAGTTTACTTTGAAATTTGTTAATTTGTTATGTTCATTTTAATAGAAATGCTATATTTAAAATACATTCCCTGGTTCAATTATTATTTGCATCAAGCAAGTTATAATAGGTTACTCTGTCAAATTTCTACGTGAAGACCTAATTCTTATGGAGTGAGACAAATTGATTGAAATGCGTGTAAATATCAACTCGATGTAGCTAAACAACAATCAATAATTAAATTCGTCTTAACAATTGAGAACATTTGATAGGTAAAAGATAATAAATTTAACCTAAGAATTACAGTATTCATTAAATTTAGCATATGATATTTTTATAATGTTGAATATGTATTTTTATCGATGGTGAATGATACATATTTTAAGATTAATTTTGATGTTTATAGGTAATCAATTGTTTTTTTCAATTTTTAATCAATCATTATAATTTCAAGGCAACATAAAATTAGTGATTCACTCAAAAGTACATTAGTTGTGTGAGAGTGAATTTGCCAAGGTGAAAAATCTATGTAAAGAAAGGAGGAAGGCAAGAGGAAGAAAGTTGGTTGTGTTAATAGCAGAGTTACATTCCCTGCCCCAAATCAACCGCCATGAACACTCTCCTGCCAAGCTCGCATGCTTATTCTCGGTCACTCCCTACCTTCCCACATTCTTCAAAAACCTTCAATCCTCTTTTCAGAAACAGAATAAAACAGCTTCATTTCTATCCTCTTGTTTTCGTGTTCTCCAACTCCAAGGTATCTCCCTTGGTTGTCGCATGTTGCTCCTCTGCACAATCACCCAATGGATCCAACCCTTCTGACCAACCTCTTATGAGCAACCAAACCTTACATACTCAAGTCACAACCCCCAACACTCCTTCCTTTCTTTCGCCCCTCCCCAAGCTTAGCTCCTCTGACCAAGCCTTCTTTCTCCTCGCATTCATCGCCTCCACCGTATGATCCTTTTTTTTTCCTCATTTTCGACTAAATTTATTTTTTTAGGTTATCCTCACTAATCATGAATTAATTCAGTAATATGTGTTGAGTATTACATCAACTCAAAGTGACGTTCCAGATCTTTTTAGTTAATTGTTACCTTTTTTTTTTTTTGTTTCTCTCTCGAATCTCTCCTTTCAATTTGAATTAAACGGTTGTTCACTCACTGAAGATGTTTTGACTATGTTTTCTGCAGACCTCAGTGGCATTCACAAGTCTTGTTTTTGCTGCTGTTCCCACCCTATTTGTAAGTTGTCTATAACATTGCTTACATTTATAAAGGCACTATATATAAACATTTGTAATTCTACCAGGTTGCTTTGCTTCCTTTTGGTTCTCTAAAACAAATTGATGGATTGAGATGTCACTGTTTAAACTTCAAATTAAGAAGAATTGAAGTTGAATGCAATTTGCTTAAACAAATATTTTTTTTTCTTAGATGAAGCTTTGGATTTAAATAGTTTTGACAAAGAAGAATCGCCAGATTTTTGGTGAGTTAGTTAATCACCTGAAAAGGATTTTAGAATCTGCATATCACTTGGACTGCAAAGCATGCTTGGTTCAGTCATTCCAATTTAGATACCCCTTTCCGTGACTTATGTTTCAATTGATGAATGTTACTGTAAATTGATCTTTGGTTTTTATCTTTATTTTTTGTGGTAAGATCTTCAACTTCTGTTTCATTCAATAAGAACTTGCTTATGCAACAACATTGTATTTTTTTCATATTGATTTTGTTTTTCTCACTGTATGTTTTGATGCCTAGACATATCATATCAGATGTCATCTTCCCTTATTTAACATAAACAATCTCTTAATACTCTTTTCTCATATCGTCTTTAGGCGATGAGAAATGCTGCAATATCCCTTTCAAAACTGGCTGATACAGCTCGGGAGGAGCTTCCTGGTACCATGGCTGCTATTAGACTTTCAGGGATGGAAATAAGTGATCTAACTCTAGAATTAAGTGATCTAAGGTGACAATCTTTACCTTACTTGACTCCATGGTTGTTGTATTTCTTTCCATCTATTTTCTAAATGTTGGTTATCTTTTCGACTATTTATTGTACATTGGGTTTGTTGGAAATAAAATCAGTTGAATGTCACCAATCCTTTTCTCAATCCATTAATATTATAGCTTCACAATATTGTGCATTGGAAGGTGTGAATGGACATTTGGTGCCTGAGAAATGGAAGTCCAAACACATACATAGTAGCTATGTTTAGTGCTCTTATTTGTACCGCAGCCCATTCAAGCAGAAATGGAAGTGACATATATATTCAGGGTTTCTCTTTAGTTCAAATTTTTACTTGGTTGGAGTTACTGGGTGCTCTAAACTCATTCTTAAGATTGTAGATTGGCTGTGTAGTTTGGTTTGACAATCTGTCACCCTATATTTCTACATGAAAGACTTTGTAAGGATTAAATGTCGAGTTACTGTTTAGTTTGCTTTGACAATCTGTGTATGGATCAGAGATTTTCATGCCAGTGAAAACAATTTTATAAGATTTTTTTTTATTCATGGTTGCTTTGGAAGAGCAATATTATGAACTTAAATTGGCAAGAAATTGGACCCTTAAGGAATACTCTTTTCTTCTCTTCCTTGCATGGGAGAGATCCTTCTGAATACTTTCAGTTTCATCATTGGAGGGTGTGGTTGGTCATGCACCCCAAATATTTTGTTTAGTAAGCAAGTGCAAAATGCTGGCATACCCCTTTCAATTTGATCAATACAACACAACATTTTCAGGAAAGTAAATGAATTTTGAACATTTGGCATCTGATAATGATAAAAAGTACACACCCTTCTATCAGGAAAGGAAATGCTAGCAATAAGCTCCTTCACACACTCTTTACTCTTTATTATTGGGTGCAATTTGTGAGAACCCCCAGCCCCAAATAAGTAGGGCCCACAACAAATTCACCAAATAATAAAAGAGTGTTTAAAAGACTTTGCAAGAATGCCAGTGTTCCTCTTATGAGGGATTGGTTTTCAAAGACAGTTTTTTAACCACACTGCGTACTTGATGTAATCATTTGGTTTTTGGCAATTAGTCAGGAAATAGCAGATGGAGTCACCAAGTCAGCTCAAGCTTTGCAAGCAGCAGAAACCGGAATCCGACAAATTGGCTCGATGGCACAACAACAAACCCTGTGTATGTATACTGTGTTTGCTGGGATTCCTTTAATTTTTTTCTTTTGCACTTTTCCTACTTAATCTTAACTACAACACGTAGCAGCTCTGTTACGAACCCACACAGTCATGCACAGAGAAATAAAAAACGGGTAGGTAAACACACTTGAGTTTTTCAAACTCTTCTTATTGTGGGTTGAAACATTGTGTTTCATTTTTTAGAGGATGATTTCTGTAAGAACTCATTCGGTGTTGGCAATTAAATAATACACTGCCACACAAATCAATCATCAATCTCTTCTCACACTTAGATTTGTCTTTTTAACATACACAAGTAATCTGTGTTGAATTATTAAGTGGTCAATTTTCTTTGTAGCAAGCAAAAGAGATCCATTATTGGAACATAATCTTGTCTTTGTGTTGTCTTGTAGTGGATATTGATTATTGATTTTGAGAGAGTCAAATAATATATTATTAATAAATAATAAATAAATATGAGAGGGTAAAAAAAAAATGAAAAGATGAAAGAACAAAATTGTAAATATATAAATAAATATATTAAATAATCATTAAGTTTTCGGGGATTAAAATCATAAATATTTATGCGAGTTACAAAACTTTGGAGGTCAGTTCTCAGGATCCGCTGCTGGTTTGTCTTATTATAGTTTGGTATGATACAGCCATGATCCAAGAGAGGGCAAGTTTGCCCGTAATTTCTTTGCGACCTGCTGTTGCTGGAGCTGCTAGAAAGACTTCTAGAGCAGTTGGCCGAGCCACAAAGAGCTTAATCAATATCATTTCAGGAAGGCAAGACTCAACAGAACAGGATGAGGACCGAACTTACATGTAAAAAATCTGGTTAGTTCAACTGAAATGGTTCTACTGTGTGAATATTCCATTTTCTCAATGAACACGACCAAAATATAGAGTAGGATGGGTACTGTAAATTGAACAATTGAATATCTTCTGTCAGTTATATTTAGGGATGTTCTTCTTAAACACCACTTGCTAATGCTATATTACTTCATAAAAGTGCAGTTATAATTGCACCCAGATGGCATTTACAAACGCATGCCATACAAATTGTATCACTGTGGAGCAATCTGTGTTGAAACTTTTCTTGTGGTATAGAGGGCCCAAGTTTTTTCTTTTGAAGCATTTAATATTATGTTCAATCTTCAATAAATTAAAGAGCATGGTATCTAAGTAATTATATTGTTTATCGAAGATTTTTTTTGAAAATTATCATAATTTGATGTAGTAAGTATTTTTTTTTATGCTAACTACTCATGTTAGTCAATTTGTTTTTTCATTTCTTTCTAAATTTATTATTAACTTCATCCTAAAACAAATTGTTATGTTTTTTTTTTTCATTTTACGAATTTTATGGAAAAAGTGATACTAAATTTTATCATATTTTAAATTATATTGTTTCAATTTTATTATAGTCGATTTTCTTTTTCATACTTATTGTAATGTTACTCGGCTCTCCAGTAATCTTTTTGCTTTCTGATAATTGTTGATTTTTTTTTTAAATTTACTTTAAATATATATATATATATATATAATTTATGAAGTTTAAAAATATATTGATTATCTTTTTATCAATTATGTTTTTATTTTTTTTAATTATTTTTATTGTAGAGAGAGAGTTAAAAAATATTAGGAGAAATTTTGAAAAAAAATAAAATGATAAAGAATATTATTAAAATTGTTTAAAAATTATTAAAAAGAATAAAAAATAATATTATTTTAATTTGTGAAGTTAAATCTGAAAAGATATTATTACCAAAAAAATATTATTAAGAAACAGAGGAAAAAAAGTGTTTTGTTTTTTATATTTTATTTAGTTCATTTAATAAGATTATTTCTATAATTTTTTTACATTTAAATTAAAATGATATTTTTTGAAAAATATTTATTTTAAATAAAATCAATACATATGAATATTATTATTTAATACGAAATAATATATATATATATATATATATATATATATATATATATATATATATATATATATATATATATATATATATATATATATTAAACTGAGGCCGTTGGCTTGCTCCACCATACACTTGGACAAATACAAATGCCCCAATGACGCAGGAATCAAACATCCAAACAAACATAGGATGGATTTCAAAACAGGGTTTTGTTTATAAAAATTATTATTATTATTATTATTACAATCTTAAAGTGAAATAATTTTTTAAAATTCTTTTTATTCTTTTTATAAAATATATTCAATTATTAACTTTTTAAAGAATAGTATGAAAAAGTGTAAAATATGACATTGATTCTTTCTTTATGGAAAAAACTCTGTTGAGAATGTTTGATAACTTTAGACTAAATTACAATTTTCCCCTTTTAATTCTTAATTTATATATATATATATATATATATATATATATATATATATATATATATATATATATATATATATATATATATATATATATATATATATATCCAAATTCGAAGTTTGAACGAGAATTTTAGATAATATGAAGACAATGATAGTATCTAATTTTAAAATAATTCTTCATAAAAAAAATCGTATATAGAGATGAAAAGTTTTATTTAATTAAGAAAGTTTTATATTTTAGAAAACATTTTTACGGTTTTTTTTTCTTACATAGGAAACATTTTTAAGTGTAGAAAGAAGTAAAATAAAAGGAAAGATAAGGGGAATAAAGGAAAAGAAATTAAAAAATAATAATAATAATAATAATACTTTTCATCTTCCTTTTCAACGTTGGCTTATTGTTAAGGTTGTAAATCTGTGGGGGGTGGGAGGAGATGGAGAAGGAGAAGCAGAAAGAATGGATATCATCAAATTCAAAGGTGTGTAAAAGGTGTAAACAGAGCTACGACCCAAATTCCAACACTTCAACCTCTTGCCGCTTCCACACTTCTTTCTTCGTTTGCCGCCGTCACGACGATCAAAAGAGGTACCTTTCCCTCTTTCCATCTAATTCTTTCATCTACCAATTTTACCTTTTATTCCCTCTTTCTTCGGAAAAAAAGGTTAGTTCTCGTTATGACCATCGTTTATTGATCTCATCGTGTTCTTATATCAGTGTTTTAGGAATTTGATTTAATATTCATCGTGTTTTTTCACCTTTTTCGTTCACGGCTTGCATATTTCTCATCTATAAATGACATGTCATGTTGCATTTAGTGCAACCTGAGTTCTTCTTCCCAACACAGGACATGCAGTATTACAAAAAATGCTGTAACCAAGAAGATGCACCTTTAGAGTCACTTATATTACAGTAACACATTACTTGCGTTTAGTACCAGAATATTTTTTTTTTTTTCTGAGAAACAAGGCTTAAGATTCATGCCTAAGTTTGTTCAATTTTTTGTTGAGAAAGAAATTATATTGAAAAAACGTCAATTCAGGTATCAACATGGATACTCTAATATCCTTAGTCGATCCTTCCCCTTTCATAGGCTCAAAGTCTTGACATTGCAATGGCTCCTCAAGCCCCTACTAAGTTTGCTTACCAATTGAGCATCCTCTTGAGAGTCACTTCACTCATTTTTAACATAAAATACTATGAGGGGAGAAAGAGATAAGCTTGTGCATCAAATAGAGTTGATAAGCTAGGCATGCAGCACTCACAACTTGCATAATTTTTTAGAAAAAAAAAAAATCTCTGGCAAAGTAATGGTTATACGCCACAATTTAAACAAAACAATGTAATGGAAATTTCTGGATTTAGTTGTGGTTGCAGATGCTGTTTCACAAAAAACATATATTTTCTAAAAACGTGGTGGCCTGATTTTTTGAGACCAAAAAACTTTAAGAAAGATGGAATATGTTCTCACCTGTGGTTGTTACAGTTATTTTGGTTAGAAAGAATTTTGTGCCTTCTGCCAGTGGCATGGTGATAATGGATAGAAACCCCAGTTAGGAGAGTAGTTTTGATGAAGGTATAGCCTTATCGCTAGATGTAGAAAGGGATAACAAAAAAGTTATAGTCAAAACCATCAAACAGTTAAGGAGGATTTAGGGGTAAAAGGTTTGTCTATGAACATGATTCATTATAAAACTCTAAAACATCCCTTTATACATGTAACTGACTCCATCTAGAAAGAAAAGACTTAGTTGTTGTTGTTGTATCAAGGCTATACGATTTCACTTAGCTGTAATAAACTAAGAATGTTTAGTTCACTACTGTGCTAGTTTCCTTCTTTTATTACAATTTAATACAGTCAATACTGAGTTTGACTGAAATCTTCCAACATTGAGAAGTTTCTGATATATCTTCCTTCTTGATTATTTTTAAAACTGTCAAATTGGTATATTCATATCCAAAAAAGTCTTGGCCAGTTTCCTGACAAAAGGGACACTAGAACATAGCCATGGTCTAGAAATTCTCGGATCCTGTTTGCTGCCTGGGTAAGGTGTTTCTTTAGTAGTCAAAATCTGTTGATCTCCAAGCATTTCCCATTTATGCCCTCAAATTTCTGCCATAACAAAGGAGAATTCACATGTCAGACATGCCATGCACAGTAGAACACTCAACAGGATGAAGTTTTGTGAATACTTGTACTTCCTTGGTTCCTAAGGCTGGAGTTTTGTTACTCATTAGACTGTAGAGGAGGCTATAACTATAATTTTATTCATCATATTCTTACATGAATATTAAATCTTGGGAATTTAAATCAGGATCATGGCCAGAGGAATATAAGATTCTAAATCTTGCAGCAAAAAATCTTAAATAAAGCAAAGCATAATATGCCAATGTTGTAATTGGACAACTAAAGTTGGAGGATGTTTACGTGTATATTATTAGTTTTTTCTTCAAAGGCAATGGATAGACTTTTTCTTCTTTCAAGTTCAATTATCTATCCATTCCCATATTCTGTCATTCTTTTTTGTTAATTATGAAGGTACTATGAGTTGGGCCCGGATGACCCACCTTATGCTGCAAAGTTCTATGACTGTTGTGGGGCTGAAGACCCTGAAGCTTCTGGCTGCACAACCAGTTTTCATGTCTCTTATGACGAAGACTGATGTAATATCTCACTCTTATTTCTTTGTATTGGACAATCTAGTATCATATTTGTCCCTTTTTCACCATTGTACATGTTTCCAGATTCTTCATCTGTGCCTTGTTTTGTTATGAAACAAACTGAGTTTGATAATAATGTTTTCTTCATTTCTAATTTTTTCATTTGTATAACTTCTGCATGCTTCCTTGTAATGAGAATTTTCAAATTACTTTTGAACATCTATAGTGGCCCCCTCCTTATGGGATAATTGGGGCTAGGCAAACTGACTTGCCTTACCTTTTAGAGTTTTTTTATGGTGGCCTACAATTTTTTATATTTTATTTCGTTTGATATTCCTCTTTTTTTACATGAAACTCCTTACTGTTTTAATATTACATTATGACTATACATAAATATTACACTAGCCTTTCTTAATTGTTTGAAAAATATTACAACATATACCCTAATAAGGGTTGTTGTAAACGTTAAAAAAATATCAAGTAATGAAGATTATGTGTAATCTGATAAATTCCTAGGTAGTTTGACAGTAATTTTATAAAAAAAATTTGTCTCTATTACTGCCTTATTATCACATGTGTCTCTAGATGCCCTCTTCCATTAGTGTCCCACCCACCATATTTTTTGCAGTCAGATGCCATTCAAGTAAAGTCTACCTGTAGGAGCCCATCTACACGGTTAGGGTTTATACTTCTTTTGGTTAATTTATATTACTAATATTGACTCTAATAGTAAGACATGGTTTAAACTTTATGCTACCTAAATGAAAAGGCTAAGAATGGAGGGAACTATTTTCAGTAATGGTCAACAATAGCGGAAAGCTTCATGGGTTCTAATTTTACTTGATTCTATGAACCTAGGGCTTTTTTTATTTTGAAGTTGGCTAAAATTGATTTTAATAGAATTAATCATTAATGGGTGATGGTAATTGAGATCTACTTCTAAGTTATTTTAGATATATTTTAAAAAGGGAAAAAAAATATCCTGTTCTGAAGAGATTTATATTTGTTTAAAAATTCATGCAACTGTAATTAAAGATTAAATAATAGAGATAGTTTTGTTAATCAGCAAATGTTAAAGTTTTATATAATATACCTGCATGATTAAATTAATCCAACCAACAAGAAAATCATAAATATAAATAAATAAGATTATTTTTATTTCAACATTTAATTGTATACAATCTTTCAAATTGATTTAAAATCAAATGAATATAATATTACTTTTAAGTTCATTTAAGTGTCTAAAATAAATTATAATCTATTTCAAAGAAAAGTGCTTTGCTTTAAGTTCACTCCAACCACTGTCACTAAAGAAGCAGTCTACTTTTAGCCTGAAGACTTTTTGGTTTTTCCATCAAGTACTTCTGTAGGTGTAACTGTTAAGTTAGGAAAAGTTATTCTATATTTATATATCCTAATCAATTTCAATGTTTCACAGTTAGATTTTATTATAACTTTTTCTTATCAATTGATTTTTTTAAAGTGTTACAAAGAGTACCTGTGAATAATGGTACCATCTCAAAAAACTTGATCAAGATCATAAACATGTAATGGTGGAAACATACTGTAATATCTGACTGAAGTGTTGAAAATCATGCTAAGATAAATCTTCAAAATTGTGATTTAAAGGAGTAAATTCTTGGCATTTCATAGACAAGTAATCTTAATCTATTGTGGATCAAACTCCACTTTTTATTACTGTCACGACCAATTCCTTAAGTTATGTTTGGATAATAATTGAGAATATAGTTCTAGGAATTTCAGTTCACATTGTCGAAATTCAAAACACAATAAATAAGAACAATTTGAGCTCCTCCAACTACTATTCACATGAAATTTTGACAGCCCCCAGAAGTGAATTTATTTTTTCAGAAAATTTGATGAAAGCATGAAGAATAAAAGAGGAATTGGTCTGACATTATGCATGTGAGAAAATCTTTGAGGTGATTATTAATGAAAGGAACTGCAGGTGCAGCAAACACAACCAACTAACGTGTTTGTCTGTCATTAGTGGTGTTGGCGTGGTCTATTTAATTAAAGTGAAGATGAGGGTGGATTGAGGATGGTGGCAAAAGAAGGAATATTGACTATTTTGTGGTTGATTACTTCATTAATATTAAGGATTTTGGAATGAGAAACCAAACAAACAATGTTACTTATACAACATGCTCCCCACCTCAGAATGACGATGTTACATGTTTGCTGTCTGTCCTTGTGCCAATCTGAATCTCCATTTGCCAAATGCAAACCTCATCAACTTTTTCCATTTTCCTTTCATTTTCATTTTCATACCTCTTCCCATGTGCATGCCAGTTGTCTAAAACTCCCCAGATTTGTATGCTAGGTTCTCAATACTCTATATAGCATATAGTTAGAGCAACCTTTTTATAGTCTTCTTATAAGCTCTAGAAACTTTCATCCCACCAACTATAAAGCTATTCTCTTCATGCTTATAATTCCTTAGTGAATGTTTGATATTCTTAATCTCTTCATGGTTATAATTCCTTATTGAACGTTTGATATTCTTGGGTTATAATTCCTTAATGAATGTTTGATATTCTTTATGAGACAAATATTTGACTCAAGTATTCCAAAAATTCTTTGGATATTATGTTTATATTAATAGGGATAATGACTACATGAAAGTCCTGGCTCCGAAACTCAAGAAGTTGCTTCTTCTTTTTTAAAAAGAAAAATTCATTTTTTATATGAAATTTATCTATGTTATTGTTTATATTTTACATTTAAGTAATCTAAAATTTACCATGTGGAACACATAAAGTAAAATTTAATGTGATTCAATTAAAAATAACCGTTCTTGTGATTTGTATGATATTTATTATGAAAAAAATGTGATTACCATAAAATTTTCAAGTTAATGATGTCTAAGTAGAGTGTCAAAGATAGGTTGTTGTAGTTTTCATAGATTTATGATATTTTGATTATAATTGTAAAATAATAATGCGTTGCTTTTATGGTTTATATAATGGGGTGAACAACTATGCAGTAGACAGAAGTTACTCCATAAAGCAATAAACATTATTGGTTGAGACATGTCATGTGAGTGGTGATGAGGATATGCCATACAAACAATGACGACTAACCTAATCAATATTTATTTTGTTATCTTCGCACGAGTCAATCCCTAATAAATTTGTGTGGCCATTGCCAAATCTACAAAACAGTTTCGGTTGTTTCTACAAATTTTAATGAAAGTAATAAGTTTGAAATAAATTGATTTAAGTTTAAAAATCTATAAATTAAAAGTAATTTTAACAAAAAGTTATTATCTTTGGATAATTTAGTTAATGGGTTTTAATGGTTGCTTTAAACTAGAGTGGTGGGGTTAAACCTAAACCAGTGTTTAAGTTGAGTAAACTATACTCAACCAAACATGATGCTGCTGTTTTGTCAGATTTGTTGCAGAATTGTAACAACCCTTTAACATGTTCTTTTAGTTTCTTAAAACAAAAAATGAATTTTTATACAATTGTGAGTTGACCAAGAGCTTAATTCTGAAATTGCACTCAAAATGGTCATATTTGGAATATGCATATGACCAAAGTCAAATATGAAGACAAGAGTTTCCAGACACAGCAAATACACAAAATCATATAAACTTTGTGTATTTTTCCTATAACATTATCTCCGACGCTACAAAAATATATACGACGTTTTGGGTAAAAAAATATATTTTTAAATATATAATATTTTTAAATTTTAAGATTTTATTAATTATATTTTTATCTTTTAATTATATTTATTATTGAAAAAAGAGATAGCACTTTACCTGAAAATATTTTGGTCTAAGCAAATATTAAGATATTGAAGGTATTAACGAAAAAAATAACTAATAAATTTATTAAAAATAATAAAAATTAACACTTATCTTAATTTATATAAACTAATCTTAAACATTATATATTTTGAAATGAATATGTACTTAAATAAAAGTCTATCATATTTTTCATCAATTTATACACAAATACAAGGTCATTTAAGTAATTGAAAAAAAGTAATATGTATATCATAAAATGTACAACTAAGAAAGAAAAATGAAAATATAATAAATGATATAATAAAAAGATTTTTTTTATATGTAAAAAAAATTATTTAGGCGAATAACTCTTAACCGATTAACAACTCATGAGTATATCGAAATATAAACCCCAATAGAGTGGAGTGAGACTCTATTCCCGATCTCACTATAAACGTCAATATTCTATTTAAAGAACCGAGTATCTCGATCTCATGTTCGAGAACTCTCGGCTTCATCAATAGTGGATCTTGATAATTGATCTTGGGGTCAAATAATATATTATTAATAAATAATAAATAAATATAAAAGGAAGAAAGAAGATGAAAGGGTGTAAAGATAAAATTCTAGATATATATATTTAAATATATTAAATGATCATTAAGTTTGAGGAACAAAATCATAAAGAGTTACAAAACCGAGGAGAGATTGAAAGGATAAAATTGTAAATATACAAATAAATATATTAAATGTTCATTATGTTTTTGGGACCAAAATCATAAATTACATGAGAGTTACTAAAACTTTAGAGCACACGCCCTCATCTCCAAGAAGATCCGCCACTCTTCATGATTGAGAGCTCGACTTTTATGTTCCATCTCATGTCTGATGGTGTATATAAACTACCTATTACCTCAATCTATTATTCATTTTGGAACTCTCATCCGTCACAATTTTATTCTTAAAAGGTGACTTAGTGGATTAAGAGAAAAAAGTGAATATAAATTATTGTTTTTCTCCACTCCTAAACAATCAAGAGTACATTATATACTGAAACATATACTTAACTATCAATTTTAATTGAAATTTACGTATAATTTTTTTTACATGAAATAAACAAGGCGTATCTAATAATAACAACAAAGGTGTATATGTATCGTTTGTCTTCGAAATTGCGGCCAATGATGTAACATATTGAAATGTCATAATCCACATTATTGTATAAATCATTAACTAAATAAAACA